GGTGGGGTGTGGGGGGGAGGGGGGGGGGGGGGTGGTGGGGTGGTGAGGGAGGAGGAATGCAGACCAGAATTTCCAGCTGCAGCTGGTGTGTGTGCCATGTGTGCCATGGAGTGAGCTGAGTTGTCCTTTCTTCACCTTGTTGAACAAAAATCTTCTGTTCTGCCTTTCATTCTCAGACACTGAGCAAGCCAGGTGCTCATTTGTGCACTGTGGTGGTGTTCTGTTGAAATTACTGGAGCTGCTATGTTGCACCAGCTAAGTATTAGTCTCAGTGTAATTAATTCAGCATGTTTAGAAGATCCCTGGAGCTCAGTTAGCAAACAAGAGATTGCTGTCACTCCAGGGAAGGACTTTCCTCAGGCAGAGGTTCATGAAAGTGTAGGAGTGAACCTGTGCTGAAAATTTTTGTGGAGAAATGAAACATTTTGATTCCCAGCACTAGAAAAGCTTCTGTAAGCTTTTCAGTTCCAGAAAAAAAACAAGGTAGAACACTACATAATATACCAACAGCTTCAAGTGTCCTACTTGTACAGAGCTGGTGCCTGTTTGGATGGAAGCCTTGTTCTTCAGTGTTTGCTTACAAGGCAGTTGTGAGCTGCTGTGACCCTTTGTTCATCATTTTTAATTATAATAGCTTGGCAGGGCAGAGCAGGGAGGCAGAGTTGGAACAGCACGGTCTGCACTGGTCAGGATTGGGATGTATTAGCAGAAATTGTAGAGAAGCAGACTGAGGGACTCTGATTACAATGCTATTGAGAGTGCTTCAGGGGAGAGATGAACCTTGTATTGGCACAGCAAAGGTGAGTTTTGCAAATGGAGCTTGCAGCATGCTGGAACTTCTGAGAACTAATATTTCAGGAGCTTGGTGAGTGCATTAGTGATGTAGTGTCACAGTTTCAGCACAAGAAATCCAGGAGTGTTGAAATATCACAGTTTTGCTCTAATGTTGTATTGTAGAATATGAGCACAACAGCAGCACTGACTTCTCTGGCTGACAGCACTGCTGCTCTGACAACGGGATGTAACCTAAGGACTCTTTTTTTTCCTTTAGTAAAGGACAGTGAAACAAAAGAGTGAAATTGGTAATTTTTCCTGAATTCCTTGAGTTGTCTTTGGCTGTATGTACAAAATCTAACCTTTGACAAGAGAAATTGAGCCTTGCTTCTTACAGCTCTGACTCGCTTCTCACCTTCTCTGTGTTTCCCAGACCGTGGTGAGGGGCAGCACCGTGGAAGTGGAAGGCTACATCTCTGGTTTGCTCAATGACATCCAGAAGCTTTCTGCCATCAGCTCGAACACTCTGAGGGGCAGGAGCCCCACCAGCAGGAGGAGAGCCCAGTCCCTTGGGCTCCTGGGAGACGAGAGGCCCCCAGACATGTACCTTCAGAGTCCTGAAGGAGACTGGGCAGACAAGTATGGGAACTACCTCAACTGCAACGGTGGGTCCAAGGTGGCCCGGAGGCAGACCATGTGGCCGGATTACAAATCCCGCCTGGAAGGGCAGTCTCATCCCAACGGGATGGTGACAAAAGCCCAGTCCCTGGGGCCGTCAGAGTTCCAGGGTGCCGATGGCAGCTGTCTGCAGCGTACCTCTGGGCTGCAGCACGTGCCTGCTGTGCCGGGGGACAGCGAGATGCCAGTGAAGAGCCCAGAGGAGGGCTGGCTTCAGCGACAGCCCAATGCCAGGCCCTCAGGTGAGGGCAGCCCCAACTCCAAATCACGGGAGAACAGCCTGAAGAGGAGGCTCCTGCGCAGCGTGTTCCCATCGTCCAACACCTCAAACAAGCCAGGCCCTCCCCTGCAGATCAAGGTAGGAGTTCTTCACTGGACTGCAATGTTGCCTTTACAATTCCAGAGGTTACATATGCAGCCAATTTAATTGCAGACATCAGGCAACCATCTGTTCTTGTTATGATTAATGCTGGAATCAAAATAGTCCTGGCCAGGGGAAATGTGTGTGGCCTGAGCTTCATGAGATGCTGCAAGGCACAGCTCAGGATGGCAGCCAGATCTCCAGCAGAAGGTTTGGCAGAGCTGCAGGAGCGTGGGCTGGGAAGGACGAGGGGTCTTAGTCATTACCTTCTGTGAGGTAGAGGCATAACTGCAGTGCCATTCTGCTGGCACCAAAGAACCTTTGCCATTTGGTAAATTGCCATGATTTGCATTAGCAGTGTAGTCTTCTGCCTGTGCAAACCAGAACTACCCAGGGAGAGTGTGGTGCTTATAGCTGTATCTGCCAGGCCACTACAGCAGCACGGTTTGCATCAGCGCCCACAGCGCTGTCACACAGGAAGTCAGCCTGTTGGATTTTGGAAAGGGTGGGACAGCTCATAGCTTCAGTTCCCCCAGGAAAGCTGTCCTGAATGGATGACTCATTTCTTATTAAACTGGAGAAAATCTCTGGTTCCTGGTACTGGATAGGAAACGCAGCCATTATTTCTTTTCCATTCTGAGCTGACCCATCGTCCATCTTCCTTGGATGGCTTGTCTGGTGGCTTCAAAGCTGGTGCTGGGTCAGGCTGATTCCCAGCAGCTGTGAAGTGCCTGAACTGGGAGGACAATGGCAGGAACCACTCTCCAAACCAACCTGACTGCTCTGAAGGGTATTGCAGGGAGGGGATGTCTCCAGTCCAGCTTCTCGCAGTTTTCATAAGGATCCAGGCTCAAGGCTTTGAGCACAGTGGGTTTCCTTTCCAAGGGAGAGGATTTCGAAGGAATGCAGTCCTTGTGTAACACAAATTACACTTACTGCTGTCTCAGTGACTCTGGGCTGATCTACACTGCTTCAAGGCCTGTCCCCTGAGTGCCTATAACTCAGAACGTTCCCCAGACAGAGTGTCTTTGCTGTGCTCAGTACTTCCAGGAGCAGGACAGCCAAGTGTATGTGCTTGGGAGTGTTTGAACTCCACCTTTTTGTCAGAGGAGAGGAATAGGGAAGACCTTGAAGACTAATCTATCTCCCTACTCCAGTGAGGGATCTGTGCCATCCCTGGTAGTTTTTATCTATGATGTTCTTACCAGCCTCTGATGATGAAAACCTGTGTCTCCTGCTCTGATGGAGCCTATGATGTGTAAGAAATGTGTAATTGCAGATGAAAGGAACAGGGATATAACTGAATCATGGAATCCTAGACTGGTTTGGGTTGGTAGAGAACTCAGAGTCCGTCGGGTTCCACCCCCTGCCATGGGCAGGGACACCTTCCACTAGACCATGCTGCTCCAGCCTGGTCTTGAACACTTCCAGAGATGGAGCATTTACACCTGGCTGGGTAGCTGGCTGAAATGGGAAGGTGGTGCCTTGAAAAGCACCATGGGAAGTTTGAGTGCAACTTCCTTATGAAGGGAAGGAGTGGGAGAGCCAGTGGCACCTCAAAATGTCCCGACAGAAAACATACATGGGGACATGGGGACTGTCAGATTACACGAGCAGGAAATAAGACTTAGACCTGGTTAAGCAAACCTGTGTGAGCTCACACGCATGTTGTGTGCACTTCTGCATGCTCTGGATTATGTAAAACATGTTTTTTTTTTCTCTCTCCTGAGACAAAACAAGATTTGGGAAATAAATTCTGTGTTGCTGTGAGCATGTCAGCACAGGACTGCAGGGGTGGAGCCGGTGTATGGGGAGGAAGGAACTCCTGACAGGCAGTTGTGTTTGTGCTGTGCCCTGATGCTGCTAAATCGTGTTTTCCAGGGCCTGTCTGTGTGTGAGGCTTATGCAGATTCTGCTCTTGACAAAAATCCTTGATTAAAACCCAAAGTGCATAGAATTAAATCCTACACAATTATTCCCTGTCTGAGACAAGAAAAATAAGAGCTCTTGTAAAAAATTCTCGATTGGCAGTTTTCAGTTCCCATGCCCATATTATTAACTTTATTAATCTCTCTGAATTGTGAGAGAGAAAAAGCTTTTTGCTTTGAAGTTTCTGTTTTGCCCTGTAATATAAATTATGGGTTTGCTCTTTCTGAAGTTGCTTCTTTGACAGATCTGCTATTATTTTACATATATTTATATACATATAATATATATATTTTACATATACATTTGTACAAATGTAGTGTATTTTGTACCCCACCTGCTAAATGTTGTTGAATTTTAATTAATCAACATTTTCAGGGTGAGTATTAGCATGACAGTATTTATCCTTCCTGGCATGGGAATGCTTATCCCAAAGTCACAGTCCCACAGGCTGTGATCTTACTACATCTCCTACACTAAATAGAGTTGGGCATGCTTGTCATTTGAGTGGGAGGTCTCCAAAAACCTTGAGCAGTGCTAATCCAAATTCACTGTAGGTTAGTTTTAAGCCAGTGAGGTGACAGGTGGTTCTGTGTAGCTGGAGTCTCACATTGGCTGCCTCCAGCTGTCCTGGTGCCTGGTGCTTTTCCCAAAGTGGAGAGCTAATTCCATGCCTGATCAACAGGAATGCTCTGCAGGTACCAGTGGAAAGTGCAGAGAGTGTTTTCAGTAGGCAGAGTGTAATTACCCAAAGGGAATTAGGCCAAGACATCAAAGTGATTTACAGCCTTGGCATGAATCCCCTTTCCTTTTATACAAAGGAAGATCAGAGGCACAGAGGGATAAAGGATTTTCAAGTTCTCTGCAGCACAGGTTGCCCCTGAGTTTTGGTGGCAAGGTTGGAATGCTTTTTAGTAGCTGGGGTTTTTTTCCGTGGGTTTTGTGTCTTGGTGATTTTTTTAAGCATGTTCCTTTTAAACTGCCTCAATTTGGAGACTGCTAAAGCATAGCACCCATTCCCTAAGGGATTCTTGAAGATCTGCATCTAAGGAGATCTTCATTCAAGCCATGTGTTGGGCAGACCTGGAGACAAGAACCGGAAGCTCTTGACTCCAGTCTGCTCCAAGGTGTGCTTAGGATGGAGAGGGATGACACAGAACTCAGTCCTCACTGCTCTGCTTATTAATCCAACCATTTTTTTTCTCTCACTTTCCTCTTTGTTCTTCTTGAAGCCTAATGCTTTCTTCAAGCCCCAGCAGTGGGGTTCCCCCCACAGCCCTGCAGCCAAAGCCCAGTCTCTCCCCCCAGACCAACCTGCCTCTGAGTTCCCCAGGATGATCTCTGAAGCTGGGACTCCCCAGAAGTCCCCAACAGCAGAGAAAGCTGTGGCAGTGCCACCAGGCCGGCCCTCCCCGGCGGGGTCCCCCAGGAACCGGCAGACCCAGACCAGTTCCAGCAACCTCCACCTGCCCCAGGACTCTGCTGGGAAGGGGCAGCCAGCCAGCGAGGACCCTGTGGTTGTGACTCATGAGCAGTTCAAAGCTGCCCTCAGGATGGTTGTGGACCAAGGAGATCCCAGGACATTGCTGGAGAATTACATCAAGATTGGGGAAGGCTCCACAGGAATTGTGTGCATTGCCCGGGAAAAGCACTCGGGGCGCCAGGTGGCCGTGAAAATGATGGATCTGAGGAAGCAGCAGCGCCGGGAGCTTCTCTTCAATGAGGTGAGTGCGCTGAAGACGGGAGGATTCTGCTGTCCTCGTTGGAACAATCAGTGTGGCAAAAGGAAGGAAAGAGCAGGATTATCCTCCTTTTAGTAGCATTATGCTCGTACCAAGAACAGCTATTGCTGGGGGGATGGAGGCTCTGCGCTGTAGTCGCAGGGCTGTGCTTCACTTTTGTTGGATAAGACAAAGTGTGGTGAGTGATTTTGTGGTGGTCACTTGTCCACTGTGGTTTTACAGGTGGTGATAATGAGGGACTATCAACACATCAATGTCGTGGAGATGTACAAGAGCTACCTTGTGGGAGAGGAACTCTGGGTGCTGATGGAGTTCCTGCAGGGAGGAGCCCTCACAGACATCGTGTCTCAGATCAGGTAGAAAGCAAAATCCCAGACACAGCACGGGAGAGCAGAGTGGGGATTTCTGGGACAAATAGGTTCCCTCAGAGACCTTGTGCTTGCAATGCCCTGAACTACTAAAGTTTATAACTGTTACCCATTTTGAATATGTGATAATACTTCTGATGTAGAAGGGACTAATTTAAAGTACTGATCCCTTTAGATACCCACTAGTCATCTCCTTGATGACCTTTCCTGTAAAGCACAACACTCATATAAAAAGTGTTGTTTACTATATCTGTTGAATCCTGGCCAGGAACTTCATTGAAAAAGTATTAAAGAACATGCAGAAATAGTTTTCAGTGGTGTAACCTTAGCCACAAATTCAACCTCACTAACGCTTCTGGAGAAGTGCAGCAGAGCCTTGAGATCTGGACTCCTTCCCAAATTTCATTGCCTAAAGATAGCAACTACTGGACACTCTCCTAAATTTGTTTCTTTATCTACACTGCTTCATATTCAGTAGTGCTCAAATCATTTCTGTAGGGCAAAGAAGTTGTTCTCAGATGGCCTCTGGTACCTCTCAGGTGTTCTGATGATGCAGTTATGATGATCATGTCTTACTCTGACTCTGGAGCACCCTCCTCCTGCTTCAGAGCAGTCCTGTGAGGCTGGAAACTGAGGCAGGGAATACCAGGTGAAAGACTGTAAAAGGATGAGAAAGTCTGTAGGATGAGAGTTTCTCTTTGGAAGATTCAGGATCTTAATTGGATTAGAGTTAGGCAGTATTGCTAGCAAAGATTGTATTCATTTTTTAAAAAATCATAGTATGCCTTTAGTTCACATACTGCTTGGCCTAGGTCCTGTGGTGGGTTTAAGGCACGTGTCTTGCTCTGTTGGGTTCTGTGTTTTGGAAGCACAATTTTGAGAGGCATCAAGAGCCACGTTGTCCTCTGTAGCCTCTACAGCCCCACCTGGATGGAGTGTCCTGGAGACACTTACCTTGACAGGCCATTCCAGAATTGAGTTCAGAGGCATCTCAGGGTCTGCATGCCAACATTTAATCCTAAGGAGTGCTGAGTTACAGCTTACAGGGCCAGTGAAACTCTTGGGGCTCTTGGCTTGTACTGAATTACAGATAAAAAGTGATGAAGAGGTTTATGAAGGGTCTGTGTATTTATATCCACCAGTGAGACGTCAGCCTAGATTTGTTTTAAGAAGCTTCCTTTGAACCTGTTGATGAATGCTTTTTTTTCTCCTCATGATAGAAGCAGTATCTTTCATATTTATCAGAAAATTTATCAGAAGTAAGCTGCAAACCTTTATCAGTTTTTCCCAGGAAGGAAAATACCATCATTACAGTCATTAACCTTTTGCTGAGGGGGATAAGTGATTTACATCTCCAGGAGTGAGGTAATCCTCCAGTAATCTGTTTTACACTATGCAGTCACTTGACTGAAACCAAATTCCATACGTGACAGGGTGAAAGTGCACCTCTTGTGATCTTCTGGAACCACAGGGCTTTCAGGTGCATTCAGCTCAGGCACTATGAAATGAAAAGCTCCCAAAATATTTGGTTCTGTGCTGGGAAATCCCGCAGGTAGCCTTTGTCCCTCTCCCTTTTCAGGTTAAATCATAAAGGCAGAAGTAGCCCCCTGACACCCTTCAGATTTAGTTGCTGTCAGTGTGGCACAGTGCAGCTACAACCTTGTAGCTGTACTGATTTGGAGGAGTAAGGTAAGGGATGCCAAACAACAGCACAAGTGTAGATTTCTCAGCTGATGGTGTTGAAATTGTTATGGGTTTAGAAGGTGCTGGTTCACTGCACAGTTCTGCCTTCTGAGTGCTCTCTTTTCCTTAGGTTCATTTGCAGACCCAAATTTGAGAATGTTTCATTTCTTTGTCCTCAACAGGAGGGTGTTCAGAACAGCTGCTAGAGACAGGCTGAGAATCCACAGTACTCAAACTGGGTACTTCAGCTATTCTTTGAAATAATTTACTTCTAGCATTACTTGGTGTAGACTTGCAGAGCTGTCACTGTCCCCAGGTACAGGAGAGAATTTTAATTTCTACCATTTTCACTTGATTGTGAAGGTTTTTGCATTGCTATTCTAAACAGCAACAGCTTCTAAAGAGGGGACTTTGGGGCTTATATTCCATGTGCTAACAGTGGTGGAAATCAGTAGTAGTGTCTTCCCTGCTTGTAGCTTTAGTTAGGTGTGAGTGTAGCCCAAGTGTCTGCAGGAAACACCTAAAGGATCCCTATATTTGCTGACAAATGATGTGTTTGCACGTTTTGTGAATACAGCTGCACAATAAGCCTTGTGAATAATGTCTTTACTGTATTTGCTTTAAAAAAGCTGTCTCACCAGTTACCACAGCACCTTGGCATCAAGCAGCACTGCTGCGTGTCAGAGCTGCTTGAAACAGCATCTTGCAGAATCAACTTAGGTACAGAATTCAAAGTGCAATTTCTCTGTATTAAACCTATGAAAACTTTAAGTTTTCAACCATCAAGTAAAAAACGTTTTGCTCAGTAACAGACATGGAAGAATCATAGGGAACCAAAGTGTCTGTGTTTTAACCCCCTGTGCCCCTGTGCAGGAGCACTGTGCCCTGCACAGTTTTAGTCCCCTGTCTCTAATTGCAGGCTGAATGAGGAGCAGATTGCCACAGTGTGTGAGTCGGTGCTGCAGGCTCTGTCCTATCTCCACTCTCAGGGGGTCATTCACCGAGACATCAAGAGCGACTCCATTCTTCTGACCTTGGATGGCAGGGTGTGTTTCCTCAGACAAATTGTTTCCTGTCTTCTGCTGGTGCAGCCTCTATCTGTTACTTCCTTTCTGTTTCCAGTCCCTTGTTTTCCCTTCGTCCTCTTACTCTGTCATCCTTGTCTGTGTTGTTTCCCGCTGTGTTGTTTAAGGCTTATTTTTAAGGTTGGTTGATTTTCTCTTTGTACAGGTCAAACTCTCTGATTTTGGCTTCTGTGCTCAGATCAGTAAAGATGTACCTAAAAGAAAATCCCTGGTAGGTACTCCTTATTGGATGGCTCCAGAAGTCATTGCAAGGATACCATACACCACCGAGGTAAGGGACCGCCTCCCTAATAGCAGGAGAGAACAAGTAATATTCTGAAGTGCCACAGGAAAATAACTATTGGCTTGTCTAGGAAGTCTCTAGATTCTATTTAGTAAATAAACCCAACTATGACTACAGCTTTGATGGTGATGACATCAATATTTCCTGAATCAGTAGTAAACCAGATTGTTCTGCTTCTAGGAACAAAGCATCAACTTGTTCTATTCTTACACTTGAAGCTTGGCCTAGACTTGTATCTGCTGGGGACAGATGTGAGCAAGGGGCAGCCTGTGACATGACAAATATAAGTAAATAAATTCCATAAAGGAAATGGGGGAGATGTGAGCTCTGAGAGGCTCACCTCAGGGGAAGCAGACATGGGAGCTCTGGAGTTCTGGGCAGGTGGCAGCAGACTGACTAGTTTTGTTTATCAACCAACCAGGTGTGGTACAAGCAGTTACTTGCACAACTTTACATGTTGCAACACCAGCATGGCTCAGTCCTGGGTGAAAAATTGACTTTGTTAAACTCATGTAAGGAGCCCAAAAGCATTAGGGGCATCAGTGTTGGACTCTCTTGGTACCATTTGTCATGGGTGGGGTGTTGTGGTCATTGTGAAAGCAACAAAACAAGGACTTGCTCCTCTGGAGTGTGTGTATTGATGTGCCATTGTGTCCCACAGGTGGATATCTGGTCCCTGGGGATCATGGTGATAGAGATGGTAGATGGAGAACCCCCCTACTTCAGTGATTCTCCAGTCCAGGCAATGAAGAGACTCCGTGACAGCCCTCCTCCCAAACTGAAAAACTTCCACAGGGTGAGCGTGCTGCCAAACACTTGTAAGCCTGATGGTTATCACAGGCAAACATCTGTATCAGCTGTTCCCAGTGGCTGTGGAAATGGTCTTGCTAGGATGTGTTTCTTGGGGAGCAGCTTTGGCCTTGGGGTCTTAGTGGCTGCAAGCTGCTGCTGACAGCTGGTGGCTGCTTTGGGAAACAGCCCTGGCAGTGTCAGGGCACCTGGGCATAAACTGAGAGTGCAGGTCAGAGCTGCTTCACGTGGACCCAGCAGTTCCCAGCTTGCTGATGTGGATTGAGTAGCTTATATTCCAGGAAAGGGAACAGGAGGATCCCTGTTCTTGGGAGTTTCCAGCTTCATAACCTTCAGGACTACAAAGGCTGCATTATGGTCAGAGCAGGAGAGCTCAGGACAGATGCAAACTCATGGAGACACTGCAGCAGCTCAGAAGATGAACTTGGCTTCATGTCTTCTTAGGAAAAAGTAGCAGTGACATAAGAAATAGTGATCACCTTTCAGTGCCCGCTTAAAGCAGTCTTCCTTTCATTCCATGCCCAGCCTCTGAGATCAAACAGCTTCTGCAGCATCCTGAGCTTCCCAGCCTTTCCAATTAATCAGAGCATCTGCAGCTGCTAAAACTGAATTATTTAAGAGAGTAGACTGCTGAACTAACAGCACACATTCCAACATCAACAGCTGTTCTTTCCTTTTTGCCTTTGCAACGCTAATTAAAATTTCACGGTCACATTCTGGACCTGGTGCTTGCCCTCCTTGGGCAGTGTAAAACCATCCTGGGCTGGGTCATACCTTGCTTGGTGACATGGGCCTGCCACAGACTGTGACAGCCAGAGTTGGGTATGGTGTTGCTCTGCTCCACTTTGTACTGGGAAGCAAACTGGCTTCCAGCAGACCGCTGATTTACAGGCCAGTGGGCATCCTCCCCAATGTCCTGCTGGAGTGCAGCTCCAGCTGTGGATCCAGCCCTCTGTTCTGGTGCCAATTCATGGCTCACTCTGGTCAGTGACTGCAGTACTGGGGGCAGCAGGTTAAAGGGATGGCACCTAGGATAATCCCTGCTGCCTTGCTAAAGCATGGGCAGATTTGTTGACAGGGATACAGGCTGGATCCTGGCATTCGTCCTGAGCTTTGCGGTGCCTTCTCCAGCAATCCCAAGTGAAGTCATCCAAAGCGCTCCTGAGATGAGAAGTATCTCAGTGGGAACAGTATTTCAGGATCTACTAAGGGAACCAGAGCTGGAAAAATGCTCCCAGTCTAACTGGATGTAATTATCAGCATTAAAATAAAGAAATACATGCCAAGATAATTTTTTGCAGAGGATTAAACCAGCCAGAGATGTGCAGGGTCTTGAGGTGGTGCTTGGGGCTGGCTACTCCCAGGCTTTTACACCTCTTCCAAAGGACAAACCTGTGAGGTCATTGAGCTTTTTGGTACTTGTTCTGCAGCTTCTCCATCTTCTTGTAGCACAAAGGTTTTTCAGGCTTTTAGAACCTATTGGAGAACTCTATTTAACTACCTTTCCATTATCTGTGACCAGTGAAAGAACGGATTAATGCCCCCTTCCCACCCAGGTGATGTGCTCATGTAGCAGGAATCTTGCTGAGTTTTTGAGCTGAAATCCAAGAAAGTTTAGGTAACAAAATGGGAAGCAAAAGTAACCCAAATGGAAGGATGTTGCAGGCTGTATCTCATTCAAAAGAAAACAACCTAAGTGTTGTGCATAGCAGTGACAGAAAGTTATGTCCATAGCATAAAATCATGTGACCTGTGTCACATTGCTGGAAAAAACAGGGATACAGATTGGGAATGTGCAGGATTCTTTTAACCACACTCACCTCAGCAGCCTGGTGTTGCATGAGCTGTGCCTGGTCCCTTTGTGTGGTTGACTTTTGGTTGGTTGCTTTTTCACAGACCTCCCCAGTTCTGAGAGATTTCTTGGAAAGGATGTTGACACGGGATCCACTGAAAAGAGCAACGGCACAAGAACTTCTGGATCACCCCTTTTTGCTCCAGACAGGACTTCCAGAGTGCTTGGTGCCCCTTATCCAGCAGTACAGGAAACGCACCTCCACCTGCTGACTTTATATGAGGGAAACTGTAGGGAAAAAGAATGTTTATAAAAAAAAAATCATAGAGAAAAAATTAAGAGCCCAGGCAGTCTCGACCTGTGAATGGTGCTTGGAACTTGCCAGTGATTGGTTTTGGAGGACGAATGTGAATCCTTTCCGTGCATCCTCAGCCTTCTGTGGCTTCTTCATTGCTGAAGACAATCAAAACAGACTAGATATAAGTGAGACTAAGTCTGTCTCAAGGATAAAGCGGGTATTCCATGGCTTGTGGATTGCTGCTGCCGAAGGATGGCATTCAAAAGTGGAGTCTGAAGTTGTGTATCTGAATGTCTGTGGGTTTCTGCACACCCTGGCTGCTGACTACTGAGCTGCAACAATATTTCCCACTTAGAAATGTGATCTTTGTTTCCTTCATTGTACACTGGAGCCATGAGCTGACTCTCTTTGGGGCACAGGCACCTTTAAACTGTAAATGCACAAAGACTTTTTTTTTTCTCTGAGACCTTTTCACAGATGATTTTAATTTCCTTTGGTTAAACATGGACCTAGAAACCTGCATACACTTCCTTAGGGAGCAGATGTGATATGTATATATTTGTTTCTAAGTGGCTCTCTTGCATCAACATGCTTCTCTTGCTGCAGAATATGTATGGTTTAGTGGTCAATCTTGAATCCATTTCATAATTTTAAACTTCTGGAGGGGGAAACCCTCAGATATGGTCCTCAAAGTGGACTCTATGAAGACCAGGTGCTCTTACCACCAGGATCTAATGGTTGAAAATTCACTGTTTGCAACACTCTGTGTGCTGGCTGGAATGTGAACGGTGTGTTCCTGTGGCTGGTCTCCAGGCACCTTGCTTTCCCAGTCCTTTCTCCCAGGAGAGGCTGAGAAGTGCTTCCCTGGGGCAGTTATTGGGTAGCATTTTGGGGATGCCATGGAGACTAAATGGAAATATTTGAGCTATCCTGCATATCCCAGGATTGATTTTTGTGTTTGTGTGCTGCTGTCTGGCTATTGGTCTGCCCTTCCCCATCAGCCCTTTACTTCTGGACGGTTTCTGGTTGTCTAAACGGCTCTTTCAGTTATTTTAACATAGTTTTAGATATTTTGTACGCTGCACTCTCTGATCAGTGAGATCCTCAAGGTACTTGGACTCTAGGTCGGGATTAACATTGTACAGTGATGGTGTGTGTTGTTGTGAGGTCTCAAGAATATATTCGTACATGTGGAACTGGGATCTTGTTTTGGAACTCCAGATACCAAGGTTTTGGACTTTTAGTTATTCTCAGGACAGTCCTGCTGTCTCAGAAACGGACCTCAGAACTGCGTTTTCTTCAGAAGATGTTCATAACCTCTGCCCTCTGCTATTTGCTCCAGCTACAGATTCTGCTTCAAAATTGAAGCCACGGTTGACTACTTGAAGTAATTTGGGATGGAATTCATCTGCACTGCTGCCAGCCATCAAAGGGTGGGCACCCAGTCTGCGGAGCTGTACATTGGTTCTGTAGCCCACAGGGAGAGGAACACCCCTGGGGGAACAGCTCTGGAGGTGGTTCATCCCCTTGGTTCAGACACCTGCTGAAGGACAAAATCACTCTCTCTCTTACCCATGGCAGGTAGAGGTTGTAGGGGGTTTCTGTAGACTGGATGTCTAAGTTTGGAGCTGATGGAGTTGGTTGAAATTAATTCATTAAGCTCCTCCTTAGCTGCACTGGAAATTTTTTGATGTAAAATGTTTCTGTATTCCAGATATATTGCTCTTTTTTTAATGCAAAAAAAGCAGGGCTTGGAAAAGATTTATAATTTGAAACAAACAGTCCTGCTCGTCTTCAGTTGTGAAGCCTTTGCACTTGTGTTTTAAATTAAAGTAGTTCTTGATTTATTCATAAGTCTGTTACAGTGTTGAGATGCTTAAAAATGTGTCTGTAGTTCAGAGACGTGAATGTGAACCTTGGAATCTGTTCTAACTTGCTTCTTCTGTTGCTATATGGCTTCTAAAACTAGAGGAGACTGGGGCAGGAGCCTGGATCCTGAGTCCAGAAACAAAGGTTTCTTGGAGACAGGGATGACAGGTTTAGCATTTGACACCATTTTATACTTTAGCCCAAATCTGACTGAACATAGTGAGGGAAGGCCCTGGAAAAATTGCATTCAAGTATCTTATAAAATTTTAAAATCTCATTAGCATATTTGTGAGGAATGCAGAAAGGATCCATCTTCCTGTGCAGTGTAGAATTTAATTCCTGCTTCTTACGTTTCTCTCTTTGCAGTTCATGCACGCCACAGCACCAATTAACTGCTCCATTACTTAGATGAGTGTGGAATCAAACATAAATCCTAAGATAAACCTAGATTAGCTGAAAGATTGAAGCTCTGTCTCCAGGGCCAACAGCTCCTTCCCCAGAAACCAGGCAGCCAGGCAGGACAATGAGGATACAGAGCAGGTTTGGAATTTGTATTGCAGTAGTGTTCAGGTCAGGATTTAATGTATGCTTGGTGACATCTGACTGTATAACAAGGTGTAGTCTCTTCTCTTGACTAGCTCAGAGCCTATTCTGTGTGTAATTATGCTCAGAGATGATGTTTTCTCTAAGTATTTTTCCTTTCTTACAAGAGTGCACTCTTGTCTCGGGGTTTGCTGCTGTTCTATGTCATGTTTCCCCTGAATCTTTCCCTTTTATTTTCCTTTTTGTCAGTTTTGTTAGTATGGAGCATTTTCCTTGCTGGCATAGCCCTGGCAATCAGCATCCAGGAGGCCTTTGAAGATGGCACATAGTATATTTATATGAACAATTTGCTGAATCAAAGGGGTAGTCTGTCAGTGCTGTCACATCCCAGTTGCACTGGTTTGTCTGTGATGGTGCCTGTCTTCCTTTAACAGGCCTCTGATGTTGGATGCAGCAGCTTATTATCCCATTTATTTTGGAACAGAACAAATCTTTGTCTAGAGGCCCCTGTTTTAACCAGTGGCAGCAGAAGGACCCTGGTTCAAATGAGGCTCCTGAATTTGACATTGAGTTTGGTTTGAAACATTGTTTGAGACAAAGGGTACCCTTCCCCTGCATACTGGGGAGAGCTGCTGGCTGTGCCCTAGGTCTGGGGTATAAATGGGGATAACAAGTAATAATCTAGATAATCTTGGAGAATCTTGATATGTGGGATACACGTGGGGGCAGGGTGGGTGTCTCTAAAATGGAATAGTTACTGTGCAGCAACTCCTTCTTTGAGTGCCTTAGGCACATCAGCATTATCTCTGTTATGGAGGTAAAAAGGATTGGGGTCATTTATAGGTACAGTGTCTCCTGTTTGTGTCCCTTGATGGAGCTGGAGTCCTCCTCTGCTTTAGACACCCCCATTATCTAATTTTTAATTATATAGTGCAAAAGTTGGCCTCACTTTAATATTTTGGGCCAGAGAATAAGATCATGAATGTGCCACCTAAAAGATGAAAATTTGGAAAGGATCAGAGATTATATCTAAATCTGCTGCTGTTCAGTGTCTGACCAGCTGTTATTGTCTCCCACTGAATTGGAGTTGTGTGTGTAACAGCCTGATGAGAGGCCTGTCTGAGCCAATTGCCACATCACCCTGTGCTCGGCAGGTAAACAAAAACACAAGCAGGGCTGCACAGGAGGGAATCCTCGAGGACGTCTGAATCCCATGGGAAGAAACGGTGCTGGAAAATCAGGATGACCTCTCTCCTCTGGAGTCCGTGATTAACCAAACCCTGGTGTGACTGAATTGTGCTGCTGGGGAGGGATGGCTGAGCTCAAGTTGTGCTCAGGAACCCTTGCAGTAACATTTGGTTTAGTGCCTTTATTTATTATTATTTATTTATTTGTCCATTTCCCATCTTGCAGAACTTTTCCCCATTTTGTGCAGACAGGGATGTGAGGGAGGCATCATGGCACACATGGGCTCAGAGGCACAGAGGGGCTTCACCCTGGGGAGAAAGGGTGTGGTCTGTGCTTTGTGGGAGCCCTGGCTTTGCTTATAGTGATGCTTCCATGTGCCCTCTGAAAAGTACATTTAGAAGGTGTTTTTTAGCACTGAGCTGAAATCTGTGTAGAAGATTCCCTCCAGGGAGAGATTTCTTTAAAATAACCTGTAAAAAGCTCCTCTGGAGGGGTTTGAGTGGCTGGAGCTGGTGACATAATGGTGTGGGATGCAGGGTTCAGTGCCTCTGTGCTCCAATTTGGAACTGCCAGTGCTGTCTCTCGGGATTTAAGGTAAAATCTCCAACTGCTCCCTGGCTGCTGTTGGATCTCACTGGGATGGCTTGTCCTCTGGTGAGGAAGGGCCTCAAACAGCACAGGGATAGACAGGTAGACAGACAAACACCCAGGGACCTGGACACACAGACACACATAGAACAGAGATAGACACCCACATGGGCACACAGGGACACAGACGTGGACACAGCCACAGAGGTGGACAGTCAGGGACAGACACACATGGACACAGCCACATGGACCCACAGACACTGGGACAGAGACATGAACAGAGACACAAGGACATGGACAGACACATGGACACACACTCCTGGATACAGAGACAATGACATACAGACACACGTGCTCACAGACATGGACACATAGAGATACATTGATACAGACAGACACAAACACATGCTCAGGCACAGAGAAATACAGACACAGCTGGATAGATGGACACAGACACACAGTCCCACACTGAGACAGGGATGACACACATATGGACATACAGACACAAATGGACAGACAGCCTGGCACACAAACAAGGACATGTGCAGATGTACATGTACACACCTGGACACAGACATCAAGACACACGACCAGATATGGACACACACTAATTGCAGCTAAGTGACAAGTGACCCAGTTGTTTAAGAACAGCAATGTTTTAATTTTTTTTTAGAAAATAAATAGCTCAGAAATGTACAATCCATAATTCCAGTACTCTGGTGACACCACAGGGGATATGTGGACTCTTGGGTGCTCAGACTAGGCTTGGAACATGCTGTCTCATAC